AGCCACATCTGGAGTATTGTGTCCAGTTCTGGGCCCCCCGTCCCATAGAAAGGATGTGGACGCACTGGAGAGGGGCCAGCGGAGGGCAACCAAAATGATTAGGGGGCTGGAGCACATGACTTATGAGGAGAGGCTGAGGGAGTTGGGTCTATTTAGTCTGCAGAAGCGAAGAGTGAGGGGGGATTTGATAGCAGCCTTCAACTTCCTGAAGGGAGGTTCCAAAGAGGCTGGAGAGAGGCTGTTCTCAGTGGTGACAGATGGTAGAACAAGGAGCAATGGTCTCAAGTTGTGGTGGGAGAGGTCCAGGTTAGATATTAGGAAAAACTATTTCCCTAGAAGGGTGGTGAAGCTCTGGAATGGGTTCCCTAGGGAAGTAGTGGAGTCTCCATCCCTAGAGGTGTTTAAGTCTCGGCTGGACAAAGCCCTGGCTGGGTTGATTTAGTTGGGATTGGTCCTGCATAGAGCAGGGGGCTGGACTTGATGACCTTCTGAGGTCTTTTCCAGTTCTATGGTTCTATGATTCTACAATTTGCCAGCACCCAGACCTCCTTGTGCTGGGATTTTCAGAGTCGCTCAACACCCAGCAACTCCCATTGTGATCCCACGGGCCAGATTTTCAGACCAGCTCAGCACTCACCTTGTGTGCCGCCTTCTTTTGAAAAGCCAGTCCTCAACCGCCCTGTGCCTCAGTTTCCTCTTCTGTAAAATGGGCACAAGGCCCTGTCTCCTGAGGGTTATGGCACGGGCTGGCTAATTAAGATGTGCACAGTACCTTGAGACCTATGGCTCAACAGAAATGCAAACTAGCCGGGAGGACAGCTAGCCACGTGCTTCCTTCCCAAGAGGGAATGTGTGTGTCATTTCCAACCCGTTACCCAGCATGGGCTATTTATTTTATTTGCCAGAAGTCTCCTCCCTGGCCCCCTTTGAGCTTAGTTAAAGAGCCATCTTTTCCCCGCCCTCTGGCACCGGGCTTGCAGCCTGAGCGCTCATCGCTCTGTGCCCTGGGCCAGCTCAGAAAAGGTTAAATCCTTCCCCCTCCCCAGGAGGGGACCCTTCCTCTGGAGTGTTCCCAACTCTATAGCAACTCGGCGTGGCTGTAACAGCAGCTCTATAGCAACTGGCATTCAGCAGCTGCTTCAGGATACACACAGCTCCCAGTTGGACCCAGGCAAGGCCTCCGAATCCTGTGAGTCAGCAGCGGCTCCCCAGGGCGCAGCGGGAGAGGGACGTGGTGGCACCTGCCGGCATCCCTCCTCTCCGCTTCCTCCGCTCCCTGGCTTGGCCTTGGCCCCAGTGCCCAGCTGTGCTGCTGTGTTCACACTGCAGGTGCTGTCCTCAGAGCCAGCGGCGTGTGCTGCTGAGTGAGCCACCCCACTCCCCACACGACCGGCAGGGGAGGCAGCGAGACGGCACCGACAGGGCCTGGCTACACCACGCGGGAAGAGCAAACTGCCGCTGTCGGTTTTCCAGTGGAATGAGCGGGGCTAGTTAAGAGCCAATTGGAAGTGCGAGGGGCGCTCCGGTCCATGCCGGTAACGAGGAGCTGAGGGCTCTTCCTTGGGCTCCCTGCAGCGTGGCTGCGCCGAAAGCCGAGTGAAGCCCCCTGGACTCAGCTCCGTAGTTAGCACGGCTGACGTTGCGTCGCTCAGGCTGACGTTGTAGACATCCCCTTAGAGAGGGGGCTGTAGAGGGGGCCTGGTGCTGTGCTTGATTGGGTCTCGCTGCGTGACCTGCAAGGGGGGGCAATTCCACGCTGTGCACCAGTGGCTCTCCGGAGCAGCTCCACCGACCACAGTGGCCTGAGCCCCTTGGTTGCATTGGTGTGGTGGCTGGACTCTTCAGTCCCAGCCCTCACTGGTGCAAACTGGTGTCGCTCCACTGGCTTCTGAGTTACCCCTGCTGAGGTCCCTCCATGACTGACATTCTCCACTTTGCAACGGGGGACAGTGACAGTCACCCCACTTTTCTAAATCATAAGGGTGTTTCTAGGGGCAGAGCTCTCAGGAGCCTTGGGCTTGACTCTGCTGGCTGACTTTGGAACAAGTCACACAGGCAACCTGTGGAACTCCTTGATTTGCCAGCACCCAGACCTCCTTGTGCTGGGATTTTCAGAGTCGCTCAACACCCAGCAACTCCCATTGTGATCCCACGGGCCAGATTTTCAGACCAGCTCAGCACTCACCTTGTGTGCCGCCTTCTTTTGAAAAGCCAGTCCTCAACCGCCCTGTGCCTCAGTTTCCTCTTCTGTAAAATGGGCACAAGGCCCTGTCTCCTGAGGGTTATGGCACGGGCTGGCTAATTAAGATGTGCACAGTACCTTGAGACCTATGGCTCAACAGAAATGCAAACTAGCCGGGAGGACAGCTAGCCACGTGCTTCCTTCCCAAGAGGGAATGTGTGTGTCATTTCCAACCCGTTACCCAGCATGGGCTATTTATTTTATTTGCCAGAAGTCTCCTCTGCTAGCCATATGGATAGGAATGGTGTCCCTAGCCTCTGTTTGTCAGGGCTGGGAATGGGTGACAGGGGAGGGATCACTTGCTGGTTTCCTGTTCTGTTCACTCCCTCTGGGGCACCTGGCATTGGCCACTGTGGGCAGACAGGACACTGGGCCGGATGGGCCTTTGGTCTGACCCAGGGTGGCCGTTCTGAGGTTCTTACCTCCAAAGGAGATGGCTGCATTCAGGAGCTCCTGAGGCTCAGGAGACATAACACCTCTCTTGGGAACATCGCGTGAAGCCATCTCCCCCCTACAGCTCCTGTCTTGCACCCGAGGGGTGTCCGCTCTGCTGAGGAGCATCTGCCTTTTCCTCCCTGCAGGGGTCCCCAGGCAGAGATCTGCCCTTCCCTGCTGCAGTCCCAAGGCCGTTGGGCCAGGCCCCAGATGATGGTGGAATGGATGAACAGAGCTGCAGGAAGCGGCAGAATCCAGCTCAGCTTCCAGCTGACAGGAGACACGCAAGGGGGGCTCTGCCTATTGACACCAGCGGGAAATTCCTCCCTCATTACGCTCCACCCTGGGGCTGCCTTTCTAGCCCGACGCCAGCTAGAAATGGGAATTTCAGACCCACCAGATCTGGGGCTGAGTCCTGACAAGGGGACAGTTTGAACGTTGCCCCCAATTAATTGGGTTTTGGACCCAAAAAAACTCCTTTTTAAATGAAAACTTTTGAATTCCAATGGGCAGAGCAGGACACTCCCGGGAGTTCAGCTCCTTTTCTGGTTGACATTTCAACAGGATTCATTGACAAGCCACCTGTTGGAAAGTTTTGATGCCCCAGGGCCTCGGGCTCTGGCTTGGAGCTAGTGACAGTGCCCCCTAGTGGTGCTAAACTGGAGAAGGGCAGTAGCAGCACTGGCCTCCCAGGGAGATCTTAGAGCAGCTGTAGGGGTGGGTCCCTGCTCTTGTCTTCCAGGCTCCAGCATGGCTCCAGCATCCAGCCCTCCCATGGCCCTTGCAGTCTGAGCTGCGTGCTGAGAGCCTGCATTTGCCTGGACAGTTTGCAGCAAACACTCGTCCATCTTCAACATCTCCACTGGAGCTTGCCAGGCTGGGCCTGCCTGGGATTCCTGTTCTACCACCCAGGGCTGCTGCCCGCAGGGTCACCCTGGCTTGAGGAGTTGGACTCCGGGTGGTGGGGCCTGGGCATGGACTCCTCCGGCAGCCCGGTCAGCCAGCAAGCGCCAGGGTGGTCCTGCGCCCTGCAGGCATGAGGGGCTCATGTCCCAAGTGACTGCCCGCTGCTCCCGGCCCCAGACCATGAAGCCGCCCGCTCAGCATTGATCTGAGAGTGAAACAGCAGCAATTCTGGATCCGGGCCAGGGGGTTTAATATAATTACGAAGCCGGTGGTGCGGCTCTCAGCCAGCCTGGCTTGCAAATGGCTTCATCTCATCAGAGTGGGAAATACAGAACTCCGCTCCATGTCTCGGAGAAAGGGCTGAGCTTTAAGTGATGCTTGGCCATCAGCCACCAATCCACTGATGGCTCGGTGTGCTCTTGCTATCTCCCCAGCGTTATGGCAGGGCCCTTCACAGGGATCCAACCTCAGGGGCTGAAACCTCTAGTTCTAATCACTGCACTTCACCGGCATTCACAGAAATCAGCCCCCGCCTGGGCTCAAGCTCTCGGATTCCCAGTGTGCATTTCTCTAAGCTTAAATTAACGTCCCCCAAACTAATGACAACAGTGACCTGGAACACTGGACAGTGCAAGTTGCCCTGTACCATCAGTTAGGGTGAGAATCTGCTAATCCATATCCAATCTAGCTAGCCTCTTTCTGGAGAACCTAAGCTGTCGTTTAAAATTATTAGGGGCTAGATTGTTTCCTGGTGCAAATCAGTACAGCTCCTTTGACTCAAGTGGAGCCACATTAATTAACATCAGCTGAGGATTTGAGCCTGTATTTCTAGGCCTTATGACTGTGAATTCAAAAAAGCAATTGAAAAGATTAACCTAAGGTAAAACAATATGGGACTGTCTTCCTGAATCTGCAGTCAGCCTGACATAACAGGTTGCCAAGATGTGAACGATTCCATTCACTGCAAGAGGGTGTTGACTCTGAAACCTAATGATGGCATGTAACATGTCAACATTGCTCACTAGTTCCCTGCTAATCAGCTTTATAGTAACAGCCAGCTGGTGTGCTGCTTCTATCATCCCATGCAGCCATGCAGGGAAATTCACATTCAAAGGCAGGAACACATAAAAACAGGTGTCATTTCAATGATGTGGCCCTAAAATTTCCAGTCCACTGTTCCAAGAACCCTAGGGAAGCCAGGAGTCCTCAGGCAGAATCCAGTGACCCTGCCAGAGAGTCTAGGGACCTGGACACAGAACTGGGAGACTCTCCAGTCGAAAGCAGGCCCAGGATGCAATCCAGGGTGTTGGCTGCAATTGTTAGGTGCAGGGGGCTTAACTGGATGGGATGCAGTGATCTCGCACAAAGGAACGGCAGAGGCAGTGACACACGCAAAAGCCACAGGTCAGCTCCCAGATCTCTTTATTGGAATTCTAGTACTGCTTGACAGAAGAGGCATGTGTACAGCATGTCAGGGAATGGGAGCAGTATTGCCTTGGTCACAAAGATATGTAACAGCATTCGAAAGAAGCTGGCCACAGCCAGCCAGCCAGTCCACTTGGGCCCTGCCATGGCATCCAGCCATTGGCCATGCTTATATTGCAACTTGGACCCCCCCTCCATGCCCCTCGACCCTCCCAAGCCAACCCCAGAGCAGCCTCGAGTGGAGAAGGAATCTGTACATTGGAGGAGCAAACGGCACCAAGTCTAAAAATAATCATCATCAGAATCATAAAAAAATAGTCCACAGCTACCGCTCGGTGGATGGACACGGTCGGCGGGCAGATGGAGCCTGCGGTAGAGCGTCAGTGATGAGCAGCCAATGCCCAGCGATGGTCATCTGCGGCGAGATCCGGGCGCCGTCTAAGTCACTACAGCAATCACGCCGTGAAGGGGCGGGGCTCACGGGACCAGTCGTACGGCACGGGCGTCGGCAGTGTGGGGGCGGGGCGGGGCCATGGAGCACGTCGGACGGACGCTCGTACGACACATGCACAACAAGCGAGGTTACAGCACGAGGGAGGGTCTGGGCCTTCCCCCGCCCACCCGCCCGCCCGGGGCACCTCTGTCCCAGGCAGCTTGTCGGAGGCGATCCCAGCGTCCGAGGGAGTCACAGGGGATTCGACAGCCCTGCAAGAACAAGGAGGTCAGAGTCGTCCGCAGCCGGTGGGGTGGGCAGGCCCGGCCCGGCCCTCGTGTCTGGGGCCCTCTGGCACAGCCAAGCTCTAGCGGGCCAGGGGGCTGCTGAGTCGGGGCCACACAGGTGAGAAGCAACCCCCCCCCCCACAACAGGCCCTTGCGGACGCAGCCCCGCCCGAGAAGCAGAGACACTCCCCACATCCCCCTCGGCCCCGGGGCTGGGGGCAGCCTAGGAGATCCGGTGTGCCCCAGCCTCCTGGGAGGACAGCGGGGGCTCCCCAATGCTGCGGGGGCAGCCCCCGGGCCTTAGGCTCCCCACCCCGGTCTAAGGGAAGGTGGCTACCTGGGCTAGGGGCACCTTGGAGCTCTGTGTTTATAGGCCACAGGCATTGGCCCAGCGTCCCCTGTGGGGAGCTCAGCCAGGCAGCGCCAGAGGAGCCGGGTGCTGGGGCGCAGGGCATCTCGCTTTCTGCAGCTTCCTGGCCCAGGTGGGAGCCGCCCCGCAGAACATACGGCCCTTTGGCTGAGCCAGAGGGAGCCGCAGGCTCAGGCTAAGGGGAGGGCTGACACCCTGGGGCATCACTCTGTGTCTGAGCCAGGGGGCTGGACTCTCCTTCCCCTGGCTGGGATGGGGCAGAGCCGTGACTGAGCCTCCCCCCGTCAGTCCATGTTACCGCAGCGGGGGCCCTGCCCAGCAAGCCGTGACGCAAGGGGAGGTGCTGACAGCTGGCTGCAGCCCCCGGCTGGGACCCTCTCACACCCTGGCCGTGCTCCCAGGAGTGCCCGGACCCAGGCTGGGAATGCCTGGAGCCCCGCTGCAGCCAAGCGCCCAGGCCTGGAGTGGCACGTGCCTCGGGCTACGTTTCGACCGAGCCGCCTTGCATCATCCCTCAGGCTGGGTGCAGCTCCCAGCTGCCCGGGAGTCTCACCAGGCTCCGTGGAGCTGGTAAACAGCTGGCACCCCGGGGGCCTTACCTAGCGAGATTGGTGCGGGGAGCCTGGGGGAGGCTTGAGAAAAGACGTGGCTATTGCCTGGGCTCAGGAGAGGCGACTAGGGGAAGGATCCTGCCGGAGACGCAGGCTGCCTCCTCACGATTGGCACGCGAGCACCAGCGCGTATGCGAGCCCGCGCCTTGCAGGGACAGGGCCTTCGCGGGACGCGGAGCTCGGCCGTTTCCTTGGCAGGGCGCTCAAGGAACACGGCCCTTCCTACGCCACCGGGAGGGCAGCCTGCCACCCGCCCGGCCCTTGGCTGCTACAGACCACCCCCGACACTCCAGGCACGGTTGGGACCTGCTCCTAGGACACCCACCCTGAGACGGGGCCTGTTCTCCCGTACGCTGGGCAAGCGACAGCAACTGCCCGGCCGCCAGCAGGGCCGCGCTGCCTTGGTGCAGCTAAGACCAGCATCCTGCCGGCAAGCTTGGGGGCCGGAAAGGCCTTTTCTCTCCCCCAGAGACCTGGTTCTTGTGCGGGGAAGGCGGGGGGGGGGGGGAAACCAGGTCATCCGCGAAGTCCCACCACGTCCCCCGCTGCCCACAATGGCCTGTCGGGGGAGGGGAGATTTGTCGCATGTGCTCTGCCTCCGCCGCCCTCTTTACACGCCGAAGGGCTGATGCTGCAGCCCAGCTCAGCGCTTGTCCTGCCCACTTGCCCCGTCCTGGAGCCCACGGGGCTGCTCGCTGCTCGATGGAAGCGCTTTCACCCAGACCCTGGCACGGATCAGGAAGGCAGGCGCTTGAATCCCTTTGAGGATCTGGGCCTTACCGACTTGGCCCTGCAAGGGTTGCATGGATGCCCGGGGAAACACCACTTGGGTCCCGCAGGAACTCCAGCTAGTCAGGGGAGGGTTGACTTGGTCCCAGCGGTGGGATCCGAGTTCTCCAGATGAACTCGGTGTTCTCAGAGCTCGGGGGCTGAACAAAGGCCCGTGGGCAAGCTCCAATCTGGATCTCGGGTGGCTCGGATCCAGCTGGGGTGCACGAGGGTGTGAAGAACGAGCCCTTCACAAGGTGGAGAGTAATGCACAGAAAGGGGCCTGGATAAAATCCAGGCATTTATAAGAGGGGGGCTGGTTCCCAAGGAGCAAGCCCTGGCTGGGAAAGGGGACAAACAGCTGCACGGCCTCAGAGCAGATCCACGCTGGGAACCGAAGATGGCCCATGGCTCCCCCCTCAGCAGCAGGGAGGTGGCTGTGGCCTCTTTCATTCCTGTCCTGGCCCGGCTGCATGGGTGAGGCGCAGCGCCACGGACGGCAGGCCGGGCGGGCAGAGAGGCACCGCGGGCAGGTCAGCCAGGAGATCTGGGATCAGTTCCCTGCTTTGCACAGACGCGGCATGACCTTTGGCAAATCACTCGGGCTCAGCTGTTTAGGCACCTAACTCCTACTGATGTCTGGGGGAGCCAGGAGTTGGGAGCCAGTAACAAGACTAGGATCTACGCTCCCTGCCGTCAGTGGGAGTGATGCAATACAATTAACGCCAGCACACGTGGGTTCATAGAAAACAGACCTTGTCAAACTAAGCAGTAATCGCATCAACAAAGCTCTCCTGCGAGGGTGCGGCTGCAATAGCCTTAGGCTTCTGCAGGGCCTTGCGCTTGGCACTGCGCGGCATTTCGATTAAAACGTGCGGCTCATACCAAATGGACTCGAACATGCAATCACAAAGGGGGAATTACCGTGGGTGGGTTCCACAGGTCCCACAGGAGGGCGTCTTGGCCCTCCCCCATGTCACAGTTCTGCCGTGGTCCTGGAGAGAAGGGAGAACTCGCACGGATGGAGTCTGCAGCGACCAAAACTCGGCAGTGTGGGAAATAATGAAGATCACCGGCAGAGTTCCCTGTCAGCTGCATGCTCGTGTGGCTGCTCGGGGGCGCCCAGTTCTCATGCCCGCAGTTCAGAGGGGAGGTTGATCAGTTCACTGCAGAGGGCACAGAGAGGAGCCACAGAGCGATGGGCGGGATAGAGACCCTGCTTCTAGTGAGAGACTCCAGTTCAATCTCTTTTGCTTGCCATCGACAAGTACCTGTGTAACCCACGCACCTAGTGTGGGTCACCAGCCCATGCAGGGCACCTAGACCATAAGCTCAAGAGCCCTCCCTCTACAACCTAAGCTAAGCACCAACTAGCTTCATAGCGCAAACGGCAGCGGCGCCTATGCTGAAGTCCCAGGTTCAAATCTGCCCAGTGGCAGTTACACCTACATGGGAAAATATTAAGCCACAGATCTGAGAGAGGTCTAACGTGATCTGATGGCTGGAAATTGAAGCTAGGCAGATTGGGATTGGGGAAAAGGCCCTTGCATTTCCCACTGACTGTACTTATGCACTGGAACACTTTGCCAAGGGGCAGGTAGAGTTTCCATCAGGGGCAATTTTGGATGCTTGACCTATCTGGCCTGGAAATTCTTGCAGGCAGTTTTCTGGCCTTTGTACAAGAGGTCTGACTAGAGAGTCTCAATTCCTTCCTCAGCTGTGGGATCTATGAACCAAGGAGCATCTGAGGGGGCCGGGAGAGGGAGCCCTGGGGGGCTGCTCCAACTGGACAAGGGTGGTCCCCAGCCTGGAATCCGGCGGAGTCGGTTATCCGGTTAAACAGGAAACATCAAAGCTAATGTTAAACCAGCTAACTGATTCACAACAGAATTTTACATCCCAATTCCATGGTCCTAGTGACTGAAGTGGTTACTGATTTTTCCCTAGAAAAATCAAGGAAGGGATCCTCAAGGAATCCATTTTGAAGCACTTGGAAGAGGGAAAAGTGATCAGGAATAGTCAACATGGATTCACGAAAGGCAAGTCGTTCCTGACCAATCTGATTAGCTTCTATGATGAGGTAACTGGCTCTGTGGACATGGGTGTCAGTGGGTGTGATCTACCTTGTCTTTAGCAAGGCTTTTGAGACGGTCTCCCACAATATTCTTGCCAGCAAGTTAAGAGAATGCGGATTGGATAAATGGACAGTAAGGTGGATAGAAAGATGGCTAGACGGCCGGGCCCAGCGGGTAGTGATCAACGGCTCGATGTCAGGATGGCGGTTGGTTTCTAGCGGAGTGCCCCAAGGTTCGGTTCTAGGACTGGTTTTGTTCAATATCTTTATTAATGACCTGGCCGAGGGGATGGATTGCACCCTCAGCAAGTCTGCAAATGACACTAAGCTAGGGGCAGAGGTAGATACGCTGAAGGGCAGAGATAGGGTCCAGAGTGACCTGGACAGATTGGAGGATTGGGCCAAAAGAAATCTGATGAGGTTCAACAAGGACAAGTGTAGAGTCCTGCATTTGGGGCGGAAGAATCCCAAGCATTGGTACAGGCTGGGTACCGACTGGCTAAGCAGCAGTTCTGCAGAAAAGGACCTGGGGGTTCCAGTGGATGAGAAGCTGGAGATGAATCAACAGTGTGCCCTTGTAGCCAAGAAGGCTAATGGCATATTAGGGTGCATTAGGAGGAGCATTGCCAGCAGATCCAGATATGTTATTATTCCCCTTTATTCGGCTTTGGTGAGGCCACATCTGGGCTATGTCTACACTGGCGCGATCTTGTGCCAGAGATATGCAAATGAGGCTGTGTGGAATATCGCTGAGCCTCATTTGCATATCTAATGAGCCGCCATTTTGCGCAAGAGGCTCTTCTGCCAGAAGGAGCTGTCTACGATGCCCCTTCTTGCGCAAGAAAAACCCTCTTGCACAATGCCGCTACGCTGATTATTTTCAGGAATAAGGGCATTGCGCAAGAGGGGTTTTCTTTCGCAACTGCAACTGCCTGAAGGGAGGTTCCAAAGAGGATGGAGAGAGGCTATTCTCAGTGGTGGCAGAACAAGGAGCAATGGTCTCAAGTTGTGGTGGGAGAGGTCCAGGTTGGATATTAGGAAAAACTATTTCCCTAGGAGGGTGGTGAAGCACTGGAATGGGTTCCCTAGGGAAGTAGTGGAGTCTCCATCCCTAGAAGTGTTTAAGTCTCGGCTTGACAAAGCCCTGGCCGGGTTGATTTAG